CTTATTAAGTCTAGAACTTTTACCTCTCACCTAAAGGAAGCACTTTAAGGCTTGTCTTTGGCATATCCTAATTGCCTGCATCACTACTCTTGCATTTTGAGACCATTATTAAGCAAAATAAGGGTTACTTGAACACAAGCACTGCAGTCTACTATAGTCGATCTAATCACCTTGGCAGCTACTAAGTGACTAATGGGTGTGCAGCATATACAGTTTGGCAATACTGGACAGAGGGATATTCACATCTTGGGCAGGATGAAGCGGGATGATATGAGCTTTCATGATGCTACTCAGGACAGTGCACAATTTAAAACTTGTGAATTGTTTATTTCTGATTTCCATTGAATATTTTTGGACCTTGATTGAGTATGGGTAACTGAAACTGGAAAGCAAGACCGAAGATAAAAGGGGGAACTACTCCTGTAATTCACTAAAATTAAGTAGATTGACGCTCTTTGCTCTTGGAGTTTTTATTACTTTTTCTCACAATTTTTATTATTATTTTTGCCAGATTTACTTTTCTGTCTTTTCTCCATTTGCTAAATGTCAGTTGAGAGTTACAAATAGTAATGCTGCAAGGTTTCAGAGAAAGGAGCCTCCATTTACTAGATATTTGTGGGAAAAGTGAGATTATCTATCTGTAACTTGAAGTAGAAATAGAACTTAACTAAGCAGCATGGTCTGGGGAGGCATTCTGGACAAGTGGAATGGCATTAGGAAAGTATATAGGAGATGTTTAAAAGTCGATAATTTATATGAGAGTTGAGGGTCTATGTTGGATAAGAAATGGTTAAAGAGGTAATTAGGGCTCAGATTATAAAAGTCCTTGAGTACCTGGAAGAGATTTGGATTTCATTCTGTAGGCTATGCTCTTTTAATTGGGGTACATATTCTTGTGAGGGCACAGCTATATGGGATATGAAAGTCTACAGGATAAACATGACACATCTTCTAGGAGCATCACTTTTTAGAAGATTTGGGGAGGAAATAACTATTTTTATATGATGATAGATTTGTGGAATAGAAAACAATTCATATGTAGTTTTAAGATAAGATTCTAAAATTTAAGATAAAATCCTATTAAGTTATAAAGGAAATATGTGCTTATATCAAGCCATTTTATCCTAAAACTGCAGAATCTATAAGAATATGTTTTCATTATCCTTTGCTATTACACTCTTTTAATAGACAAGTTGGAGTGACACAGGTTGAAGCCGTTACAAATTTGTTTTAGGAAGATTGAGGGGAGACATACAGAAAATTAGAAGCCCAGGCAGGAGACTATTTAGATAATTTTAAGACCCAGGTTAAAGGCAGCCCTTGGTAGGTTTTTGGCAGTAGAAATGGGAAGAAAGCATATCAGATTAAGAGACTTCCAAAGATTGTAAAGTCCTAACGGCTTATGATACAGGAGAGGTGTTTTACAAAGTTACATGAAAAGCTAGAGATGGTTCTTGGGTTTTAAGCTTCTATCACTGGGAAGCATGGTAGTGCCATTAATGGATATAATGAAGTAAGGAGAAGAGTGGGATGGGGTAATACGGGAAGGACCAGCAGAGGCGGTAAGGCATTGATGAATTTGTTATTTGATATGTTGAATTTGAGGAGACTATAGGATATCAAAAGGAGAAATGGCAGGGCAATATAAGAAAGGAAATTGGGGAGAGGTCTGGAAATAATATTGTGGAACTTTACTCATAGAAAATAAATGAGTCTATGAGAGTAGGTTGAGTTTCTGAAGGTCAGAGTGGGAGAGATGATTGAAGATTGTACATTAGCCCACAGTACTAAATACTAGGAGGTAATAGGACTATAAAGAAGGGTTCAAATAAGGGATAATTCTCCGAGAGTGTAGTAATATTGTGGAAGCAAAATGAAGATTAAATTTGAAAAAAGAACATTGTTATTAGTAAGTAGTAGGGAGATCAAAGGGTATGAGAACTGAGAAAAGGCCTTTAGATTTGACAATTGTTAGTGGTGAAATTACAACACTTTTAGCAAAGTAGTGAGAACAGAAGGACATGATTTTGTGAACAATAAAGGAGAAAATTCTTTCTCTTTCTTTACCAGAATTAGCTCTTAACTTGAGGTATATATTTAAAGCAGAAAATAATAGTACTCCCAAAAGGAACAAAATTAAATATATTGTTTGAGAATTGTTAAAAATTGAAAAACTAATAGGGAAAGTAATTGGTTTATTAAATAATGCATTCTTTTGCATTTGAAAGCTTTTGGTTTTTTCTTTATTTTGGTATTCTGGCTCTAAAAAGTCATTTTTGACAGTTTGGCTGTTGTTCTGAAAACTAAAACTTATTCTTCCCTATATTCTTTTGTAATTTTTTCGAACAAAATATTTATGTAGGATCCACATAGATCATACATATTTACATATGTCATATATTTTTATATGTCAAATATTTTTTATATATAACATATATACTGGGTAGTTTGAAATACATAATGGTGAATACTTACTAACTAAGGTGAATCACTATATAACTTGGGCACTATATCTTTTAAAAACTGGATTTAATTCAAATTTTTATTTCTCTTTGACAGTTTCTTTAAAAACTTATTTAAAAAATTAATACTGAAAAATGATATAATTGTCAAAAGTTTTGCATCTAATAATCCTGGAGGATTTAGAATTTAAATTATTTAAATTAGAGATAACAATCACACTTCTATTGGATGTGAATAAAAAACTACAAAAATTTAAATTTCTATAATTTAGGGGACTCAGTCTTTATTGAATTGGGAAACATACATACACATCTTAGATTAGTTAAATATTCAATAATTTGAATGATTTTTAATTCTATTTGAAAACCTACACATAAGTATTAGACTGACACCATGTCCAGGGGCAATAAATTATTTAACTTGATGTAACAAATACATTCATTCTTGTTGTTCTCTGATAAGATCCCTTAAAATGTTTTGTTTTCTCAGTATTAAATGTTAAAGTATATAAAGTGTATACATTATGGATAAGTAAGATAATATATGTTAAGGTAAAGTGGTATCTGATATTAAAGTCAATATGACTTAGTAATATGTTAAGGTAAAGTGGTACCTGATATTAAAGTCAATATGACTTAGTAATCATGATCTACTGAATTTAAGACACTGTACCTATTTCAATATAGTATTTCATCCCATTTCATAAATAAAGCATACCAAACATTTAAATTCTCCAGATTATTTTGTAGTAAAATAAACCGTCAGTATTAAAATTCATACTATACCCAGCCGGGTGTGGCTCAGCGGTTGAGCATCGTCCTAGGATCCAGGATATCGCGGTTCGATTCCCGGTCAGGGCATATCCTTGGATTGTGGGCTCGATCCCCAGTCAGGGGCATGCAGGAGGCAACCGGTCAATGACTCTCTCATCAGTGATGTTTCTGTCTCTCTCTCTCCCTTCCTCTCTGAAATCAATAAAGATATATTAAAGCCCGGCCGGGCGTGGCTCAGCGGTTGAGCATCGACCTAGGATCCAGGCGATCAGGGTTCAATTCCCGGTCAGGGCACATGCCCGGTTGTGGGCTTGATCAATGACTCTCTCATCATTGATGTTTCTATCTCTCTCTCCCTCTCCTTTCCTCTCTCTGAAATCAATAAAAGATATATTAAAAAATATATATATATATTAAAAAAAAATTCATACTATAGATTTTTACATGTACTATGAACTGAGTGAATTTTAGTTTTGAAATTAATAGTATTACAGCATTTAAGAACTGTATAATTATCAGTCCTTTATACTTATTGAAGTTTAGAATTTTAGCAAGTAAACTAGTCTTTTTTAACTGGGGAAGTTGTGAAAGTAACCAACATAATGACTTTTAAAATAAAAGTCTCTTTGTAAGTTTTTTATTTAAAAAAAGTAATTTAAATATTCATCCATTGGTTAAAATTTAGATTGTGACCAACTAAAATTGATTTCCATATCACAAAATGAATGAATAAATGATATCATAAGACTTTGATTGAGAAGGTAAATTATATTCTGTTGGGTGATATGATGATGATATGTTTAATCTTAAATCAACAGTAATCTTTTTCTAAAGCCTTCTATTAGGGATTTAATACCAGATTATTAAACCACAGTAATTTGGGATGATTTTAATGCTTAATTTATTGGCTTTTTAATTTGCCTTAGTTCATTCAGAGCTTTCTGAACTTGTTGGATGGATCAACATTTTGGTTGATTTGATACAGTATAACCTTCCATTCTGAGACTTCCAACATATTCCTCTTCTCTTCTCTGGCCTAGTTTTTGCTCTTGGCTTGTTATATTTACCATTTAGGTTGTTTTCCTCACATACATCGTACGACCACCAGCCTCCTAAAGAAGATAAATATGCAATTTAATGAATAGAAACTCATATGTAGTTCCTGTTCCTGTATTTCCTCATCAGTATATCTTCATTTCTTATAAATATGACAGTGTTGTATGCATGTATCTTAATTTTAAATAATCTGTACAAATCTCATTTACCCCAGCAAAATAAAATATCTGAGCAAGGTTAAATTTTAAAAAACAAGTTGAATTAACACTTATATTAAAATATTATGTGTTAATTAACACTTATATTAAGATATTTTTACCTATATAAAGTGTTTATTTGAGATTCATATTTTAAAGAATTTACATTGTAGATATCAGATAACACTTTGGGAAGATAGTTTAAACAGAAAAACAAAGTATTGATATTTAGGAAAAGGGTACCTGAATAACCTTCTGGACAGCTGTAGTGTCCTTTTGCTTTGTGATCCCAAGTAGAAAACACCAAATCTTTGTTTTCCGGGAGTGCGTTGGGGACGTTGCCAGTAATCTCAACTAGGTGTAGTTTGTAGTTGGTTTCATGATTTCCCAAGTGAAAAGAATATTCAATGTAATGCTTGGTGTCTNATGAACTGAGTGAATTTTAGTTTTGAAATTAATAGTATTACAGCATTTAAGAACTGTATAATTATCAGTCCTTTATACTTATTGAAGTTTAGAATTTTAGCAAGTAAACTAGTCTTTTTTAACTGGGGAAGTTGTGAAAGTAACCAACATAATGACTTTTAAAATAAAAGTCTCTTTGTAAGTTTTTTATTTAAAAAAAGTAATTTAAATATTCATCCATTGGTTAAAATTTAGATTGTGACCAACTAAAATTGATTTCCATATCACAAAATGAATGAATAAATGATATCATAAGACTTTGATTGAGAAGGTAAATTATATTCTGTTGGGTGATATGATGATGATATGTTTAATCTTAAATCAACAGTAATCTTTTTCTAAAGCCTTCTATTAGGGATTTAATACCAGATTATTAAACCACAGTAATTTGGGATGATTTTAATGCTTAATTTATTGGCTTTTTAATTTGCCTTAGTTCATTCAGAGCTTTCTGAACTTGTTGGATGGATCAACATTTTGGTTGATTTGATACAGTATAACCTTCCATTCTGAGACTTCCAACATATTCCTCTTCTCTTCTCTGGCCTAGTTTTTGCTCTTGGCTTGTTATATTTACCATTTAGGTTGTTTTCCTCACATACATCGTACGACCACCAGCCTCCTAAAGAAGATAAATATGCAATTTAATGAATAGAAACTCATATGTAGTTCCTGTTCCTGTATTTCCTCATCAGTATATCTTCATTTCTTATAAATATGACAGTGTTGTATGCATGTATCTTAATTTTAAATAATCTGTACAAATCTCATTTACCCCAGCAAAATAAAATATCTGAGCAAGGTTAAATTTTAAAAAACAAGTTGAATTAACACTTATATTAAAATATTATGTGTTAATTAACACTTATATTAAGATATTTTTACCTATATAAAGTGTTTATTTGAGATTCATATTTTAAAGAATTTACATTGTAGATATCAGATAACACTTTGGGAAGATAGTTTAAACAGAAAAACAAAGTATTGATATTTAGGAAAAGGGTACCTGAATAACCTTCTGGACAGCTGTAGTGTCCTTTTGCTTTGTGATCCCAAGTAGAAAACACCAAATCTTTGTTTTCCGGGAGTGCGTTGGGGACGTTGCCAGTAATCTCAACTAGGTGTAGTTTGTAGTTGGTTTCATGATTTCCCAAGTGAAAAGAATATTCAATGTAATGCTTGGTGTCTTTCCAATCTTCTAGCTCAATTCGTAAAATGTAATTAGATTGCTTTACTATGGAGTATATCTTCTCTAGACCCAACCAAAATTCTCCTGAAAAGAAAAGTTGTAAAAATCTGTGGATTGTTAACTGCAGATTAGGTACTGACTTTTTTTTGGAGATGGTCTTTTACTAGTGTAAGTAAATGAGTTTTTTAGTCTCAAACTTCTTGGTTATTTTAGAGCCTCTTAAAATATTTCTTTTTAAAACAATTTTATTGAAGATAGTTACAGGTACAAAAAATGTTAAATATTAATAGCCTTGCTTAAGTCTGATTATCCTTTCTAAAATAGGTATTATGAAACATATTCATGGGTTAAATATATTAGGCTATTATAGACATTTTTAGGTCTGATCATTGGTAAAGTACTCTCTCACCTCTAGGTTCTTATATGTACTGGCTTTGCCCTCAGCTATTTATTAATACCCAAATACTATCCAGAGATTTGTTAAATATTTCCAGTGACTTGGATAATAACAGTCATTTTCCTCAGACATAGTCTTGGCCTTTGATATTTGCTTTATATATATATTTCTTTGTAGAAAAAAAAGAAGGAACTAAAAATTTAAAAACATTTAAAATTTAAAAGCATAATTTTTAATAACTTTTCTCTATAATTAAAAAAATTACTTTTATTTGGAATTAAAACATAAATATAAGTAGATCTTTTTTTAATGATCACAATCCTTTTTAATAAAGTATCTAAGGAAAAAAGTCAAAATTTTCTGTTGATATTGAATTCGTAAGAGACTTCATTTTAAGGATTGCAAGTACAAATGGCTTACTTTCTTTTTTAAAAATCTCAAATGTAATTTAATGGGAAGGCTGACAAAAACAGGCTAAAAACACTAAGATTGCTATCAACAGTGTTCAATCAATTATGCTTATGACTAGAAACCAGGAAGCAAGGAATAGTTGGCTTTTTCAACACCAAGCATATAAATAACCACCACCAGTGGAGGGAAAATTGCATACTTGGGAAATAGAAATTTGGCACCAAAACTAAAACCTAAATTTAAAGACATGAACCAGAACCACATATTGGGACTTACTCATGTATAGACTTTTGAATGCATTATAAATGGCTTTACCTTCTTACAGAAATAAGTGAGTTCTTTGAACTTGACTGCCAGCCTTTTATTTTGGGATTCATTCACTCTTAGAAGATTTGAAACTACAAAACATATTACTGAATATACCATTTAGTTAGGGATTTAACTGATAGTTTGAATACAAAAAATTTTTAATACTCAAACAGTATTGAGTTTTTAAAAATTTGATAAAATAATGAATGCTTTCCACCTGATAAATGTGTACTTGTTCCCCATTCATGGATTCTATAATAGTTTTTTTAAATTTTAAATCTCTTCTTATTTATTTTTATTTTACTAATTTTATTTTTTATCTTGTTTATTCTGTGATCAAAATATAATAATTTTTATTGAGTTCACTAATTTCTTTTAAACCATACACCTTATAGTATACATTTATAATATTTAAATAATTGAAATCTAAACGTTTTATACTGTACATCTGACAGCTTTATCTCTTCCAGCCTCCAAATAATTGATATCTAAAATGTTAATAAGAAAGTAGAGTGACTAGTGATAAGGATGGTTTTCTTCGTTGCTCATTCATAGCATTTACTATGTATCAAAGTACATAGCACTTAATCAAAATTGTTTTTTAATAATTACAATTGTGATAATTAGAAGCCATCAAATTTAATTATGATATTTATACTTAAGAGCAGACATCTAGTTGTGAATAGTGTAGTTTAAATAAATACATAATAAATGTAATTACTAACAAATGTGTAACTATTGTTAATAAGTCCTATGAAGGCTGGCACTGTTCTCATTCATTGTTGTATTCCTAATGCCCAGGTCATAATAAATAAATATTTTTAACAAGTAAATGAATGATTATGAAGTCACCTTACCATTGAGCTGCCCAAAACCATGTCTGTAGTTTTCCCAAGTTTCATTGAAGTTTTGTGATCCATCTATTCGTTGTTGAATTAATGTCCATGAACTACCTGAATATAGTGAACCAAAGTGTGCATTTTTAGTAGATTGTTGCTGACAGATGTAACAAAATACTGTTACTTGGTTTGGTTTTTAACTGGTGGCTGTGTAAGATAACTATTAATGTTATGATAATAACATTTATTATGGTCCCAAGAAGTTAAGTAAAGGACAGCTAATGAGTTTGTCTTAATAAACATTGACAGTCATTTCAGATTATTTTATGGAAAAAGATGGAGAATATTGAATATATGCGTGATTAAAAACATAAAAAAGACAAATGTAAGTACTAGATCTGTGTAACTACTACTCATGTTATATATATTTCATTTGATATATATTCAGAATAAAGATAACAGGATCAGTCTTACTAACTAGGTAGTAGGTAACCTGTACTAACTACTGTCCATTTTCTTCATAGGCTAGTTTTACCTGATTTAACATCACAGTAGACATTAAAAACTTGAGAGCCGCTGGGTTTAATAGAATAGATGCCACTTGTGTGTTCACCTTTGTTATAAATGGTGGTACAATCAGCAGGAATGTCTAGAATCAACAAAATGTTATTACATAAGATATAGTAATAAGAATGATATTTTAGAGTTTGAGATTTTACTTGACATTTTATAGAATTATAGTAAATATAGCCTTGAGCCTTTTTCAGTAATGTATTACTGAAATTAATGTATTACTGACAAAGTACTTTATGCTAAAGCATTTTTATTATATGGCATATTATGCAAAGAATATCAAAATAGTTATTACCAAGCAGATTTTTAAAAAACATATGTTTTTATTGATTTCAGAGAGAGGAAGGGAGAGGGAGAGAGAGAGATAGCGACATCAATGATGAGAGAATCATTGATCAGCTGCCTCCTGCACACCTCCCACTGGGGATTGCGCCCAAAACCCGGGCATGTGCCCTGACTGGGAATCCAACCGTGACCGCCTGGTCTGTGGTGTGATGCTCAACCACTGAGCCACACAGGCTGGGCGAGCAAATTGTTTTTTTAAGAAAAGTGACAAAATGAGAATTTTAAACACTTTTTTGCTAGATATAGGAAGAATATAAATAAAATACCACATATAAGACAGTATAATGTTTGGCTCATAGAAGGTGTCATGGATGTATGTAGACGAGTTAGCATACATGGAGGAAACTAATAGAGACTTTTTTTTCTGTATGAATTACATTAAAAAAAAGTGTTTTGAAAGTATATCGTTTCGTTTAAGTTTGGTTGGGATTGGAGACTTGGTTCCTCCATCTTTTTGTTTTTCTTATGAAAATTTTCATGCAAATGGAAAGTAGAAACATTGGGGAGAACACCATAATCTTTCCATTCATATTCAACAATTGTTAACATTTTGCCATATTTGCTTTATAAACACACATATATACAAGTACATATTTTGCTGTGCTATTTGAAAGTAATTTGCAAGCATCATGACGTTAACCCTTAGATATTTCAGCATGCATCTCTTAAACATGAGATTATTCTCTTACATGACTACAGTACCAGTATTACATCTAAGAGAATTAATAATTCCATATTATCTAATATCAAGTCTTTTTTCACATATCCCCGATTATCTTAAGAATGTGTTTTATAGGGTTAAAAAATACCCCACCACAATCCAATTTAGGGTGGCTTTCAGGCCATGAGAAAAGGGATTTTTTTTGATGGAAGAAGAATTTGATAATAGGAACCCAAATTATCTTACCATCATGTTCTACATTGTTTGTTTCATTTAAATGCAGAGAGGGAGTAGTTCTGGGTGCTCTTGGTCTTGAAGAAAGAGAATTTTCTGTGGATTCTTGAATACCAGTTCTTCTTAACTGATAAAAGAATATAAATCTACTTTTAAAAATGATACTGAATATACAATTGGAATCTGAGTGAGGATATTAAAAGTACAACTTGTATGCATCTTTTAGTTCATTATGTGTTACTACTTTTGATTTTTAAGAGGGATAAACAATGCTCTACAGATTGTACAGATGATCTGTTCTCAAGATATTTAATCACTGACATCGTTTAATGAGTTCAAAAATAGAGAAAGGCAAAGAAACAAATTATTTTAAAAACATCAAGGCCAAAGGCAGAGACTTTGTGTAAATATTATAATATAGTCTATTTATTTATATGAATAGAATACATATTGTATTTAATAGCAAGGCAGATTTTAAATTTAAAAATTCTCAATTGTAGGTCTTATTGTTTCTCAGACCTGCCATAAAGGCATAACATATAATTTGAACAAGGCTACTTTCTTGATAGTTTTTGAAATGTAAACATATCAGTAAAGGTAACAAATTGGCAGGTTTATTTACTTTTAGTATGTTCAATATTTCATTGTTTGTTTAGCAAGAACAGTTTATTTAAAGTGTGCCAGGTTTGCAGTTTATTGGCTGATAGCTTTTCTTATTGGTTGCCTGGGAAAAGCAGAGTATGTTTGTAATATCTGTGTTATTAGTATGAGTTGTATGATGTCAGCATAAGTGGCATTTCCTAGGACCTAATTCATAAGGATCTGTAAAGTTCACTTATTGGATATCAGTCTTTTCTACTAAGTAACTATGTGATCTTACGGTCACTTAAACTTTTAGAGTTTTGGGTTCTTCACTTAAACTTGATGAAGTTGGATCAGATGACCTAAGGCTTCCGCCAACTCAGAAATTTATTGTTTGAATTCTTCATATATTCTATTATTAGATGTATTTTTTTTATAATAATGACATTTTACGTTTGTGAGCAGGTTCATCTAATCATAATAAAAGATAGGAAAATGAATTTAAAAATAATGTAAAACAAGAATGAAATTATGGAAATCAAAGCTGCTTGGCAAAAAAATTTTGGACAATTAGCAAAAATAACCTACTAAATTATGATTCACAAATTAGCAAAAATAACCTACTAAAACTACTGAATCATTGTAATATGTTTGTTTACTGGAAATTGGTAATAATACTTGTTTTATAATTCTTGGCGACTATTTTTTTAAATCAGTTTCTCCAAATCTGTGTTATTTTTGGAACCCTCTTGAATGACTGTGTAATAGTATTATTAATTAATATTTTGAACTGTGGTATTATATATTGGAATGCTTAGATTCTGACAGCTTTTTTCTAAACAGGCATCTTCCTCACCAAGCCAGTTGTTTACATTGTAGATTAACTTTATTGTTGGGAATTAAACTTAATTATCAGGTACACGGTTCTGATAATAATAATGATAGCAAGTTTTTTTGACTTTTTATTAATTCAGCATATATTTATTAAGTGCCTATTAAGTGTCAGACAGTGTGCTATATTCTGGGGACAACAGCAATTTTAAAAATGGAAGAAAATCCCTGTACTCGTGGAGCTTACATACTAGTGCAGGGACAGACAAAATAAATAACTAAAATGTATATTATGTTAAATAGAGGTAAATGCTAAGGAAAAAAAGTAATGAAGGAAGTAGCAGATTTCAAGGATGGGAATAGGGGAATCTAATTTTTAAGTGACCTGAGAAGACTTCATTGAGAATTCTATATTTGAGAAAGACCTAAAGGAAATGAGTGAGCCATGCAGAATCAGGGAGAAGAGCATTCCAGATCCAAAACAGCAAGGCAGAGGCCCTGAGATGGCAGCATGTTTGATGTTTTTCAGTAACTGCGAAAAGTAGAGGAGATGAAGTCAGTGAGATAATAAAGGCTCATCTGGGGTCTTACAGGCCAATAGGAGTGAGATGAGAAGCCACTGTAGGGCTCTGAACAAAGAGAGATGTAATCTAATTTAAATTTTAATAATCACTTTGGCTGCTTTATTGAGGATATACTTCACATGAATTAATTCTTTTTTCTCACAACAATCCTATAAGATAGTTTCTTATTATCTTCATAGAGTAAGTGAGGAAAATGAGAGACAGCGGGGTTAAGTAATTTATTCAAGGTCACACAGAAGTCTTAGAGTCAAGAGTCAAACCCTGGTAAGTTTATCAGTTTCAGAGCCTGCAAAGCGTAACAGTTATGCTGATGTGATCCTTTTACTGACTCTTCAGCTACAATTATTTGAAATAATTTTAGGGTTCAGTGTTTTCATACACCTAAAGTTTATGTAAAAGATTGGCTATACCATTAAAATACTTACCTGATTTTCTATTTCTTTTATTTGACTATGCTGTTGGTTTAATTGTCTATATTGTTCTTCCACGGTCTGGAGAAGATCTCTGATGCTGTTATCTTGCTGTTCTACAAAAGTCTGGTCATAGGTTATAGGTTGGTTAGAAGTTTCTTACTTCTTTAATTAGACTTAGACTTTTAAAAAATTTCCTATAACACCATCACAGTCTAATTTTTTAAAGCTAATAGATTAGAAAAATGAATATTGGTAATTATTTTTCTCTTGTATGCTTCTTTCAGATAGTACATACTTTTGTTTTTATGTTTTATTTAAAATGTACCATCTCTAAAATCTGATTTCCTGAACTTTAAACTGCTTTAGTTAAACGAAAAACAAAACACAAAACCCTGTATTTTAGTAGGAATAAATCTTTACCATTTACTGTGTTACTTTTATTTTAAACATGGAAGAATAGTTTCAAGTTATATTCCTTTAACATTTTAGTTGCCTCCAATAATGTGCAATACTGTGTTCTACATTTTATTTAACGGAGTTGTAATTTTCATCTGAAATGTGAAGGTTAGTTGTTTTTATATATAATAATAGGAAACAAAAACTAACTTAAAATTATAATGGAAAATTTTATTTCCTGGAGGCTTTTTTTTTACTTGGAAAAAAAATTATAGAGTATTTCAACTGTGCAACAAAGTATTTAAAGTAGCTTATCATAAAATTTTTTTAAAAAAAGATCCACATTGAAACATGATAATAAACACTTTTTGGTTTCTACTTACTTTAAGTGAAGTTACTTCTGGGTGTTCCTGAATTTCAGGTTGATTTTTAATTAAATTGGTTAATTGCTCTTCCAAATACCTCACTTTTTGTTGAAGTAGAAATTTTTCTTCTAGGACGTTTTCAAGTTTCGAGTTGAGTTCAAGTGACATATTCTTGACTTCCTCATTTTTGACTTGTAGTTTGGAGGTGGTAGTTCTAAGTTTCTTTTCTTCTTCTTTGATTTCATTAGTTTGCAGTGATAGATCATAAAAGGACTGATCAAATATGTTGAGTTTTTCAAATATGTCATTAATTTGGCCCTTAGTCTTATGGACAAAGTCTTTAAGACCATGTCCTAACTGAAGAAGGCCATTGGCTAGAAGTTTTACATCATCTAACATAGCAAATCTTGATTTTGTCTGAGGAGGTATAGAATCAAGTGATGAAAAATAGTCTTGGTCAATTCTGGAAGAAATAACTAGAGGAACAATGAAAAGAAAAAGCTTAATCGTATACATTTTTATCTTAATTATTAAATTTCAATGAATCAATGAATTTTGGACAAGATTTCTCTTGTAAGCAGACCTAGATTTCTAAACTCTATATATACCACTGTTTGCCACATGAACGGTAAGGTTGGCAGGTGAATATAGTTAATCATTAAGCTGTGTAAACTTGTCCTAATGTAACCTTCCACACGAGTTAGATCAATACTAAGTGAAATCAAAGAAATGAACAACTGACTTAATAGGTCATTCTAAATTGTTACTGTATTTAGTTTTGCTATATTATAAATTGCATTTTCGGTGTTATGAGATCTACCTGTTTTTAAAAGCTCATTTTAATTAGTCATGATTTTTAGAGATTTAAAAGTAAACACCACACTCTTTTGACTGGTAAATTCATCATTAAAGTTGAGAAAAATTAATGAATTAAGTATGAATTTCTAAAATTGTATTTTAGTTTTTATGGCAACGGTGACCTGTCCCAAAAAATAAATGCCTTCTCTGTGGAGCCTTCCTCCATGTTTTTGGGTGGTATTTATGGTTCTCAATGCTGTACTCCCATGGTACTTTGTGTAAGCTAACATATGATTATATATTTCTTGTTATTTGTCACTATAATTATTTAGTATACATATATTTGCTTCAAAGATCTGTCTTAACCATACATATTTGTATATTATCACAAAATCCCATACATTAAATGGCATTTCATCCCTTTTCTCTATTATATTTTGTATCTATGTTCTAGCCTGTTTTCTATCTACCCACTAAAAGACCAATAGATTGTGGTCTTCTAAGGTCAAACCATAATTAAATACTTCCAGTGTTAAAAATGATTTTCCCATTATAAATTTTCTCAAAGTTTGTGAGCCTGGTAACAATTTTGATAATATAAATTCAACAAAACCAAAAAATTAGTAGTATGTTTAAAAATTAATGTTCCACTGTGCTTCTTCTAACTTAGGGTTAAAAGGAAAAATATTTAATACTTTGGTTAAATTATGTGATTCTTCTTCTTGAGTGTTCACATTAAGAACTTTTTGAGCCCGACTGGCGTGGCTCAGCGATTGAGCATCAACCTATGATCCAGGAGATCGAGGTTCGATTCTTGGTCAGGGCACATGCCTGGGTTGCTGGCTTGATCCCCAGAGGGGTAGGCAACCGATCAATGACTCTCCTCATCATTGATGATTCTATCTCTCTCTCCCTCTACCTTCCTCTCTCTGAAATCAATTTAAATATATATATATATATATATGTATGTATATGTATATGTATATATATATATGAAGAACTTTTTGAGAAAATAACAAATCCTTTAAGAATTCCTTATCTTGACAAATTAATATAGTAAAGTTGTTAAAAGTCTGGGTTCTGGAATCAGACTGTGATCTGGGTCCAAAAGCCAGCTCTTGCTTACCAGTGTTTACAAGTTACTTAACCTTCCATACCTCAGTCTCCTCAACTGTAAATTGGGTAGTTACATATAGTACATACTTTATAGGATCATGAGAATTAAAAGAAGTAATATGTGTAAAGCATTAGGACAGTGTCTGGCAAGTGGGAAGTATTCAGAATGTTAATTATTATATCACTTCAGTGAAATGATTTTTAACCTTTGTGTGTCTGTAAAATTAGCCCTATCTAAAAGAAATTTTGCATAAAGTTAATAGCCTTTTTTTTTTAACAAAGGGAAAAGCTTTAATAAAATGAATTTCATTTTAAATTGTAAATTGTCAAATAACACTTAACAAAATTTCTACTCTTAGAATGCCTCTTCCTGGTATATAAAATAGAGACCCTTTCTTTTGATGATTTAGAATTAAGGGCTCTAGTGGTTGAGTATGATTATGGAAAGAGACTGGCTGAGTTGGAATGCTCTGCTGTTCCTCAGCTGTGTGACTCTTGGTCAAATTACTTAGGTTTTTCTTATCTCTGTTTTCTTGTCTGTCAAGTAAAGTTAATACCTACTTCATTGGATTGTATAAAGATTAAAAATTAATCTTTTTAAAGAACTTAGAACACTACCTGGTGTTTAGTAAACATTACACAGCATTATATATTAGCTTTTTTGATAATTTGAAACAATCAATGCATTTATGTATATACTGTATTATTTTATTGTTAATTATCTAATCTCAGGTTATGAAGGCATTAAGTTGGGAAATTTCGCTAGAATCTAGGTTTTCTGAGTTTTGTTCTCTTGGACTTTAGTAGTACAAAGAATTACGTCTTTTGTTTAGCCTGTGTATACTTTTTCTAAGTATCTAATAAAGAATCATGTAAATACTTCTGTTAAGAGAAATGAAGAATGCAAGTAAATAAAAATATACAAATATTTCCACTAATGAAGAGGAAAATAAATTTTCCTTATACTTTATATTCATCTTACCCTTACTAGTGGTACATTAGGGAATTATAAAAGCGTGTGTTGAACTAGTGAAGAAATTTGAATTTTTCTCCCTCTTTTTTTTAAAGGGAAAAGTTAGTGTTGTCATCATTGGTCATGAAGGGCATATTTCGAAACTGCTCTTAACTAAACTGTCTACTTTTCTGGCCTAAAACTGTTGACCCTGATATTTTACCCACTTTCTAGCTGAGAGGGAATTGAGATGGGCCAACTTCTCATCTCTCTTGTACTATAAGCTGTTTATTGGCAAGATCTATATCTGTTTTTAATTTATATCCCTTATAGCACGTTAGTACAATGCCTTACTTGCTGGAGAAACAATAAATATTTACTGAACTAATAAGAGAATGATTAAGTCATAACATGAGAGTTTTCCATATATTTTACATATGGCAGATGTTCACCCCTTTTTGATATAGGAGGTTCTTTTTAGAGAAAGGAATTTGAGAAGTAGGCCCTTCCACCGCATGAAAGTACCTGGACATTAATACCAAAGAGAGGCTGTGTGAAGGAATTTTCTTCCATTTGCACAATTTATACACTTTTTTCCTCACTTGTAACACTAATAGGTAGATTGGAGGCAAGGTCACGTATTCTTGGTTTATAGTATATTGTCTCTTGGTAGAAATATTTGGATAATTTTTTAATAGTAGTTTGACATGTTATTGAAAATAATTAAATAATTTGCCTACTTACAAACTGTGTAAGAGTGTCAATGTGGGAAACGTGATGAAAGTGGTAATTTTATATTTACCTTTCAGTGCGTCCTGAGTACACATTACTAAAGGAAGAATATAATCTTTGTTTGAACTTGTGACTATTTAAATAGAGCCCTGATCAAATATAACCAGTAATGTTAATAAAAATTTAAAAATTTTATGCCAAAGAAAATAATAAAAATTTTAAAATTTTATGCCAAAGAAAATAAACAAAATTAGACTCTAATCTAAAAATTCCTAGTTTCTGAGAGCTAATACACAAAATTTTTAGCAGCATAGAAATCGAGGACATTTAGAAGTCTTGTTTGAATTCCAAGCAAAGCAAAGTCCCTTACCCTCCCCCAGGTTGTGCAATCTTTTGGGGATACACCTTCCAAATAAAACTTAACAAGGCATTTTGGATCTTTTGAATGTAATATACTTTTCATTTCTCCCTTTTTAACTGTGATCATTTGTTTTTGAATTAATATATTTGGTAGAAAGATCCTGAAAGTAACTGAGAAAAACACATTTATAAATAGAAATGTTTATGTTAACTAAAGAATAATGCCAGAGTAACTCATGAGCTCCTGTTTCCTTTTTTGTTCAGAATGGCATTGTCCATTGGAAATATAGTGAATTATGTATGTAAAAAAGCTGAAGAGAAACAAGTGAAATCAATTTTAATAGTTTATTTTATTTAACCCAATATATCAGTTACTTCATGTGATCATTATAAAAACACTAATTAGGTATTTTAGATTGTTTTTTCATGCTAAGTCCTCCAAATAGACACTAAGTCTGGTGTATATTTTATCTTCCAGCATATCTCAGAACAGGCACACATCAAGTGCTTGATAGTCTCACTAGACTATTTTATTGGACAGTGCAGATCCAGAAGATGAGTAACCTTTCCAGGAATCATTTTATTTATCTTAATCTTGCTTTCATGTTCACTGTTAATAAATGTTAAATGTTTTATGTTGAAAATACTTACTGTGGAAACTCAGATATTTAAAAAACCTGTAAAAAATAAAAATCCTTACTTCTATTAACTATTTGGGTGATTACCTAAACATAATATTTTTAAAACACAAATGGGACTGTGTTATATATAGCTTATGTTATACTGTCTATATAAATCAATTCAAGGCCTTAATATTTTAAAATTTATTTTCATATGATTGTGGATAGATTTACCATGTTCTTTTTAGTGGCTGCACAATCTTTTATTATTATATGAATGTGCCTTAATTAATCAACCCCATCAATGATCATTTAAGTTGTTTTCAGTTTTCTAATTACAAACAATATGCATAGAAAATGTCTTTATATGTATGTATAAATATTTTCACATGATAAATTTATAGATGTAGACTTTTAAATTAGGATTTCTCTTGGCAGATATCCTTCAGAGGGATTTTGCCGTTTACATCCCTACCAAGAGTATATGAGAGTTCCTCTTTCCCATGAATTTTTACCAATGCTTTGAATGAGAAAGACCAAAAAAAAAAAAAAAAATCAGTAAATATAATAGGCAAATATATCTAGTTTATTTTGTTGGCCATCTATTTTGCTCTGTTTGTGAATTATGTGAGTATGAAAGTACTCCTGTCAAACTCCCTCCCTTCTTTTTTGTTTACCTGTTCCTATTTTAGGAATTATTTACATATTTTGAACTCTTTGTCAGATATGTAACAAACAGCGTTTTTCCTGTTTTTCATTTGTTTTCCTTCTATGTTTATGGTACTACCTGCTCTGTAGAGGCTTTAAAATTTGTCTTTTATGGTTTTTGTGGCTCATGCCCAATATTGTCTTCCTCACCTATAAAATATGGTCTTTAAAACTTTTCTAGTACTTTCATAGTTTTATTTTTATTATTTAAACCTTTGATTAATCTGGAATTTATTTTGAGGAGGGTTTGGTAAAGTATGAATTCAGCTTTCCCCCCTAAATGGTTAGTTAGCTATCTCAACACTTTTTATTAATCTACCTTCTCCCTAATGATCTGAAGTTTCTCTGAAGGAGTATCATAAATACAAGGTAAAGACTTACTAGGATTGTGTGGGAATTTATTAGTGGAGTTACTAGTCCAGTGGAAAAGAATCTGGATCCAGTTGCATGCCTTTCACCTTCAGAGACAAGTTCAATTTAAAAATGTATTGCTGCCTGGCCGGGCATGGCTCAGCGGTTGAGCATTGACCTAGGATCCAGGCGATCAGGGTTCGATTTCCGGTCAGGGCACATGCGCGGGTTGTGGGCTGCAGCCGATCAATGACTCTCTCATCATTGATGTTTCTGTCTCTCTCTCTCTCTCCCTCTCCTTTCCTCTCTCTGAAATCAATAAGGATATATTTAAAAATAAATAAATAAATTAATTAATTAATTTTTAAAAATGTATTGCTTAACTCATGGACACAGACAGTAGTGTGATGCAGGCCTGGGCTAGGCGGGTGGGTGTGGGGTAGAAGGGGTCAATGGGGGGAAAAAGGAGGGGACATTTGTAATACTTTCAACTATAAAGATAAATTTTTTTAAAAAAGAAAAAATGTATTGCTTATATTGGAAAGCAAGCATAGCTTATATATAGTGTTCAGTTAATTCCCATTTAACCAGGAACCAAACAGAAGTGTTAACTAAATATTCGTATACGTTTTGTACTATTCATTCATTCAACACAAGACACTATTTTAGGCATTGTGAATCTAGCCATTAACTCGATAGATAAGGTCCTTGCCCTCCTGGAGTTTAGGCTCTATTAAAGGAGATATATAAACAAGAAATAAATCAACAAGATAAATTTCTTGTTCAGATTCTTTAAGAGTTGTAATGAAGCCCTAGCCTGTTTGGCTTCGTGGTTAGAGTGTCAGCCTGCGGACTGAAGGGTCCTGGGTTCAATTCCGGCCAAGGGCATGTACCCCAGTTGCAGGCTCAATCCCTGGCCCCGGTTGGCGCACAAATGGGAAGCAACCAATTGATATGTCTCTTTCACATCGATGTTTTGCTCTCTCAC